ATGCCCTATTTTCAGTATACTTAATGATCATATAGTTAACCTTACTCTAAGTAAAAGAGTTCAACAAATAGTATGAAGAGAAACAAAACAAAACAAAACACTGTTCCTCGGTGGAAGAGACAAGGGCTATAAGCAATCATCTATTCTCAAAATATCTATTTTACTCCAATATGTTACATTTCAGGTACTTTATCAGTACCTTGTATCAGTGAAAACATATTATTCTGTCTTTTGGGGACTGGCTTATTTCACTAAGTATAATGGTTTCCAGTTGTGACCATCTTGTTGCAAAGCACATGATTTAATTATTTTTACAATTGAGGAGTACTCCATAGTGCATATAAATCATAATTTCGTTATCTAGCCAACAGTTGATGGACAGCTGGATTGATTTCATATCTTAGCTATTGTGAATTGTGCTGCAGTGAATACCTTTTTCATCCTTTGCACATATCTTTGTTGGTGATATGTGTTTCTTGTAGTCATCAAATAGATGGGTCTTATTTTTTAGTCCATTTAGCCAGTCTGTATCTTTTAGCTGGAGAGTTGAGGCCATTTGAATTCAAAGTGACTATTTCTAAGTAATGACTTGGCCCTGCCATTTTTCCATAAATATTGCTAATATTTACTTTGTGTATCTTTTGTACTTATTCCTGGGGATTTTCTGCCTTCTGATTCTTTCATAGTGATGCTTATCCTTCTGTTTTTCTGTATGTAACACATCCTTAAGCATCTTTTGTACGGTTGGAGAAGTATTGAGAAATTCTTTCAATTTCTGTTTGTTATGGAAGGTCTTTATATCACCCTCATTCATAAATGAGAGCTTTTTGCAAGGTACAGTATTTTGAGTTGACAGTTTTTTCTTTTAAGACTTGGACTGTATGTCACCATTCCCTTACAGCCTGTAGGGCTTCTGATGAGAAGTTAGCTGTGATTCTGATTGGAGATCTTCTGAAAGTAATTTCATTTTTCTCTCCTGAACATTTTAGAATCTTTTCTTTATGTTTTACTGTGGAGAGTTTGACTACAATGTGTCATGGTGAAGAGCTTTTCTGATCATGTCTGTTAGGAGTTCAGTGTGCTTCCTCTTCTTGGACGTCCCTTTCTTTCTCCAGGTTTGGCAAGTTTTCTGTAATTATTTCACTAAATAGGCTTTCGTCCATTCTGTTTCTACACCTTCAGGAACTCCTAAGAGTTGGATCATTTGATAGTATCCCATAGGTCTCCAACACTGTTTTTAAGTTTTCTATTTTCTTTTTCTTTTTTGATCTGACAGTATGATTTTTGAAGATTTGTCTTCTAGTTTAGATTTTCTTTCTTCTGCCTCACTAAGTCTGCTGCTGAAGTTTTCCACCACATTTTTCACTTGATCTTTTGAATTCCTCACTTCTAATATTTCACTTTGATTTCTCTTCAAATTCTCAATTTCATGGGAAAATTTTTTATTCACGTCATGTATGCTTTTCTTTAGTTTGTGAATTTGCTTCTGATTGCCTTTGAGTATTCCTAAATTAAATTTTAATTACATTTCCAACATTTCCTCAATATTTTCTACTGCACATTCTAATATTGAAATGTTGTGTTCCTTTGGAGGGGGTGTTATGGTGTCTTCCTTTTTCTTGTTTCTTGATTTTCTGCATTTATTTTTAGGCATTTGTAGAGTTGAATTTTTTTCTGATGGCTTTTATCTATGAGCTATGCCTCCGTGGCTTAGTGGAATGTCTGCACTTTCAGTGAATACCAAGAGGTGTGGGTGGGTGTGGCCAGGGGGCACTGGTCAATGCTCCAGGGTGGGGCAGGTTTATAGGGTAACACCCAAGTTGGGTGGGGGTAGATCTCAACACCAGCTACACCTTTCACTTCTCATGTACCCATTGAATCCCCATGGTCTCAGCATACAAGGCTCCCACAGTCACTGGGCCCATATATTTCTCTCTGCACCACCAGCCTGTCTAGTCAACAAAGAGAAAGATATTCCCTAAGACAGTTTTGCCTAGACATCTTGACCCTGGGCCACACCACCATTCCACATAGCTGCGCAGCCACCTCTCAGCCAGGTTCAAAGTCAGTGGGGACTGTGGGTTGTTCATTCTGCTAGAACCTGTATCACATGTGCACACAACCACTACTGTTCAAATGTGGCTGCCTGCCCACCACTGCTACCAGCACTGCCAATTAGGTGTTGCATCTCATTTAGCTGCTGTTCAAACACACAAAGGCTTCCATAGTTGCCACCCTTACCCAAAATGGCTCCCACTCTCTCAGCCAGGCTGCAGGAGCTGTTCTGGGGATGTTGTGGGGAAATAAATGTCACCTTCCACTTCCACTGTGTTCATGGGCAGCCACCAGCAGACACCAGCACCCAGGGCTCCACTCTGGACCCATGCCAAGCTCTCCCTCCAGCGCTATCACCATGGGTTGTTGCAGTCCAGTCTCACTTCCATCTCCAAACTGCTGCCTGCTCCAGTTCTAGGCCACTGAAGCTGTGCTTATGCTCATTCTGATGTCTGCACCCTCCTCACAGGTGCACACCATTTCATCTCCTCTGGTAGGACTTTCAGTGCAGTTTTCTCTCCAATTCTCCCCTGAGCATGCACTTCAAACACTTTTCTCTTCACTATTTATCCTTAGCCCAATGAAGTATGTTGCTCCCTAATCCACCATCTTGATATCCCTAATTCACTGTCTTGGAATCCCTATCAACTATTATTATGATCATTATTTGTAGGGACAAGATAGGGGGAGGATATTACAGACAACAGATATTGCAAAACAAATATCAAATCATAACAGCAAGGTTATTTAAATAACTACAAACCATAATTCTAGGCTTTAAAGTGTGAGGGAGAAAATAGCAAGAGAGAAACCTGCAGAGATTGTCAAGGAAAAATAACACAATCTCGGGGAATATTTCACAAAAGTGTCAGTAAGAAAAGGAGAACCACTCATATTTTTATTGTTCAGAACTCTTTCCAGGAGTTCTTTGGAATTGTAGTGTGAAAAGAATGGAAGCTGAACTATTCATGAGGAGTGTATTGCAATTTTGTAGGTCTGAAATGGATCAACACCTAAGTAAGCAATAACAGAATTGAAAGATAAATTTATTTACATGCAAAAAATGAAATCCATGCATAGGAAAGTGATTCAAAAAGTTCATGAAAAATAAATATTATGAAAAACTATGCAGGGATTTCAAAGATTTTGTGCACTGTAATATCTTTTATTTAAAATGTTAAATTATTCACTCCCCCTAAACACTCCCAGTGGTTGGAGTAGAGGCAGGGCCAGACCCAATTCCAGGAGCCAAGTGATCTGGTCTCACATCTGGGTGGCAGGGACCCACCTACATTAACCATCATCTGCTGTTTCCCAAGATCTGCATAGGAAAGCTGGAATTATGAGTCAGAGTCAGGATCCAAACCCAATGTGGGATATGTAGGTGTCCTAACTGGTAACCTAAAAGGTCACTGCTAAACTTACCTTTTAATTTAATTTTCTATATATTTTTAAAGTTTATCTTTACTTATTTGAAAGTCATAGTGGCAGAGAGAGCAAGAGAGTGAGTAAGAAAGAGACAGGCCGGTGCTGTTGGCGTAGCCACAGCCTCCGCCTGTGGTGCAGGCATCCCATATAGGTGCCAGTTTGTGTCTCAGCTGACCCACCTCTAATCCAGCTCCAAGCTGGTGGCTTGGGAAAGCAGTGGAAGATGGCCCAAATGTTTGAGTCCCTGCTCCCATGTAGGAGACCTAGAGGAATCTCCTGGCTCTTGGCTTTGGATCGGCCTAGCTCCTGTCCATACGGCCATTTGAGGAGTGAGCCAGTAGATAGAAGACTTCCTTTTCTGTCTTTCCCTCTCTCTGTAACTCTGCCTCTCAAATACATAAATAAATAAATATTGAGAGTGAGACTGAGAGTGAGAGTGAGAGCAAGAGAGCGAGAGTGAGAGCGAGAGAGAGAGATTCCGTTCTCTGGTGAAAGCCAGGAGAGAGGAACTCCATCCACATCTCCCACACAGATGGCTGGGACCTAAATAGTTGAGCCATCATTTGCTGCCACTCAGGGTGCACATTACAGGAAACTGGATCAGAAATGAGAATAAGACTTAATGCAGGCTTCCCAAGTGGAGCTTAATTTGTTTCACCACACAGTTGCTCCTCCATGAATTTTTTAAGTAACCTCATAGTGGGGGTACAGTGGAGAGGCTGGATCTGAGAAATACATATGAAGTGAAACTTGAATATTTTTGTGATTGGTATGGCCAGGGTAAGGGAGAAGAAGGAGTCTTTCACATTTATTCTTTGGGTACCAAGGGTAATTATAATACCACCAACTATATTCTAGAATACAGGAGGAAAATAGTGTTTGGGGATGTTGGTGCTGTAAATAGGATTTCTAAGTGGAAATACTCTAATGGAGCTTAGAAGAAAAATTTAGAATTTCCGATAAATAATTTGGGTATCGATAATATATAGTGTCTAAGCAAAATCAGGAGAGTAAATGATTTTCAAGAGCATGTGTTGGGAGGGAGGACCAGTGGGCTGAGGACAAACACAGATGAGCTGCAGAAATTAAAGTGTGGGGATGGAAAAGGAACCCACAGAGGAAACCCAGAAAAAGGGTCGAAGATTTTTTTAAAAGAAAAATTCAGATTAGAAAGGAATTTAAAAAGTAAGTCACAAAATTTATTTCAAATATTATAATTTTAATTCTAATTTTTTAATAATTTGTTTCTATGCTAAAAACTTTTATATTTTCATTTATTTCAAGAGTGTTTGCTTTTATCTTCTGAAATATATTTATAACAACTTCTTTAAAGTCTTTGATAATTCTAATGGCTGGATCATCTCAAGACTGACACTTATTGGTAGCCCTTCCTGTTGGAGTTAGTCAGATTCTTATGGTTCTTTGTAAACTGATTAATATTTTGTTATATCATAAATTTTCAAAAATTATGTTGTTTAGACTTTGGGTCCTCTTAGAAATCTTAGGAAAATGTTGACTATTGGTGTTGTTTAGCATTCGGTGAAGTTAGGTATGGGTTGCAATTTCTATCTCACTTCCGGTGGTGATGGTTCCAATGTCAATTCTGTTGACAAAAACTTTAATATGTTATTTTGAGTGCCACTTGGGGATTATTCTGATACCTGGTGACGTTTTAAATTAAAGTTCAATTTTCAAAGCTTTTGTTGTGCTCTTTTGGGTCTATGTTGCACAACTACAGCTCGAGAGTAAAATCAAAAGTTATCCTGGTTCATTCACAGAATTGGATGGGGTGCGGGTGGGATCCTGTCTCCAAATATCTCCTCTCCAGGATTTCCCTCACACTGTCTAGTTGGAAAGAGCATGTTTCCTTGGCCGGCTGGTCCAAAAAAGGCTACTCCATGTTGCATAACTCCCACAACTGTGGCCACCTCAAGCAAACTGAGGAGAAAGCAAGAAAATGGGACTCACTCTCTCAATGCTTTCTTGGTTGCACAGATTTTTTTTTTTTTTACCGAATTTCTCAGGCCAGAAGGAGGAGGTTTCTATTGGAACCTACTTTTCGGTTCACCATGTGGAATTCACCGGGAGTGCATTCTTGTCTACCATGAGAATAAAAAGAATATGACAATTTCCCATATATTTTCCACTTCATAGAGGCATAGATCTTACTCAAGGTTTATCTCCATGTTGTAGATGCCCATGATGCTGTCAGTTGGAAGCCTGTCATGGTTCAAAACCATGAGAGAAAAAATGTGTGTGTGAAAGAACTCCAACATGGGTCATTTTTCTATATCTTGACTTGCTTCCCAATCTAACTGCTTTGTTTGTTTTTCAGAGTCCCCAGGCAGTTGTTTTTGTGTTTTGAATAGGCAATTCAGTTGTAGTCAGTGGGAGTGGTGTTCTAAATTGTACTTGCTCCATCATGGCTGTACCAGGAAATTCAGGAAGGATCTTCTAAGGAAGGAGTAAATTAAACACCAAGAGAAACACCAGGTAAAACTGAAAGCCTGAAAATGATTTATATGGTCTGGATCTTAGGAAATTATTTAAGTTTACACATGTTCAGTGCAGAATAGGGCCAGAGACAGGACTGCAGTGACATGAGAAGTAAATGGGGGTAGAAAAGTGGGGATGATTGTGGACTATTAAGTTGACTTTAAAGCAAACTTAGAAAAAGGGCAGTAATGAAGAGGTGTTGAAGGCTGAGAAATGCCAACAAAGGAGAGAGGATAGAGTATGTGCCAAAGGTAAAGGTCAGATGATAGGTTTGCTGGTAGTAAGGTGAGATAATTGTCTTTGGTTTTCCATTTCTCCCTGTGACATAATATGGGAAATTATTAGCTGAGATGCAGAAGAGGGAGGGAGTTCAACAGTCAAGAAGAGAAATATCCAACATGTATCTTGATAAGAAAGAAACTTAATTTTTGAAAGATTGTATAATTAAAGGTGGTGTGAAAAATGTAATGTATTTGAGTGAAAGTGATGCTTTGGAATCTGATTATTGTTTACAGTCCTTGTTGCTACTGTTGAGAAATAGTGTTTTTTTCTTCTTACTATTTGTTGAATTCTTTACTTAGTGGAGGGTTAAACTCTTGACTATAAAATAAACTGAAAGTATGTCACTATAAAATTAAAAGAAAGAAACAAAAAATCAACAAGGAGAGAGGGTGGGAGTAGGTACAGGAGGGAGGGTAGGATTGGAGGTATCACTATGCTTCTAATTCTGTATATGTGAAATACACAAAATTTGTTCACCTTATATAAATAAAAAATTGAAAAGAAGAAAAGTTTAGAAAGAGGTAAAATAAACACACAAAGTTTAACAAGTAAAAAACAAAAAAGCAGTGTGAAGGGCATACTTGTACTATGTAGTGCTAACCTGAAAATCAAGGCCGTGCAGTCTAATAGTTCAATAATTTCTTGTCTTCCAGTCCTCCAGTGGCTTTCCCCTTCAATCCACACTGACTGACAATCCACTGTTGTGGCTATACCCAACAGCTTGTGGTTATTCAGGTATGAATCCCTTCAGGGAAGATGAGGTAGGCATGTTGGGAACAACCTAAGGATGAGAGGTATTAGAAGTTAGAGGAAGTCACAATGACTTCAAGGCTATTCAGGGAATAAGCACCACAGAGGAAATAAAGCAGTGTTAATAAGGACACTTAGGTTTCTTAACAGGAAATTAATTAGCCATCAAACTGAAGTGCTCAGTTGGAAGCCTAAAGGGATGATAAGTTAAATGATTGTAATAAATCAGGTCAGGTGTTTAAAACTAAGGAGTGAAGAGTGAAACGGGACAGGTAAGTAGGTGCAGAATCTAAATCCATGGGGATCTAGTTGGTTATGCTTTCCACATAAATCACTACACTAAGCAAATAACAGACTGGAATCAACAACTCAGGACTGCAGTACCTCTAAAATAAAATCCCAACATTCTCAGGCTATAATCTACTGTATTTTATATTATACTTGTTATTTATCTTACTGGTTCCTTACATTCTGCGAAATTTTGCCCCACCAAATTTTCTTGACTGATCAGCCCATTCTTGCTGCTTCAGTTTTGCTCCCATCCTGAAACACTGGTCTTTTAATTTCTCTTCCTTGGCCTCCAGAAATCTCTTACTCTGTCTTCTTGCTTACATCTGCCCCGAAACTACTCTCTTCTTATCCCCATATTAGTCCACTCTTCTGACTTCTCCATTTCTACTTCCCTAGTTGAGAACATCTGAAATGTCTTAAAGTTACAGCACCTTCCATACCAGCACCTAATTCCATACCACTGCCCTTTCTTTCCTGTGTTGCCACATTAGTCCCTGGCTAGCCTTCCTCCTTATACTCTTAATCATCACCAATACATTGTGGAGCCAATCACCATAGCCAAAGTGAGATTTAGGAAATCCAAATCAGTTTTCTTCACTTTCCTGTTATAACTTTCCAAAGGCTTACTGTTTCCACTGGGAATCTGGTTCCCATGATTTATTCCTGTCCAGCCCTTCTGCCTTTGCCATGCCAATCACTTCCTCACTCCCTCCTCATCCATACTGTCTTCCTTGCCATTTTCTGAAAATGAAGGCTCATTCCTATCTCAGTGCACTTGCACTTGGTTTACTCTCTGTCCATCTCTCCACATGATTTTTCTATTTCATGCTGATCAAGCTCAAATGTCACTTCTTTGAATCACTATATAGAAAGGTCTGCCTTCCTTTCTAACTATCTTCATTTTTTTAGAAGTTTTTTATTTGACAGGTAGAGTTATAGACAGTGAGAGAGAGAGACGGAGAGAAAGGTCTTCCTTCTGTTGGTTCACCCCCCAAATGGCTGCTATGGCCAGCACTGTGCTGATCCGAAGCCAGGAGCCAGGTACTTCTTCCTGGTCTCCCATGTGGATGCGGGTCCCCAAGCACTTAGGCCATCCTCCACTGCCTTCTCAGGCCATAGCAGAGAGCTAGACTGGAAGAGGAGCCACTGGGACTAGAACCCAGCGCCCATATGGGATGCCGGCGCCACAGGTGGAGGATTAACCAAGTGAGCCATGGCGCTGGCCCCTTAACTATCTTCATCTTTAACCTGCTTCATTTTTACACTCGTGTTATCATTTAGTTGCAGTGTTCTGAAGCTCTTCTTTGACAGGCAGAGTTAGACAGTGAGAGAGAGAGACAGAGAGAAAGGTCTTCCTTTTTCCATTGGTTCACTCCCCAGGTGGCCGCTATGGCTGGCATGTTGCGGCCAGCTTGCAGCGCCAATCTGAAGCCAGGAGCCAGGTGCTTCTTCCTGGTCTCCCATTCAGGTGCAGGGCCCAAGGACCTGGGCCATCCTCCACTGCACTCCCTGAGCCACAGCAGAGAGCTGGACTGGAAGAGGAGCAACCGAAACAGAATCCAGTGCCCCAACTGGGACTGGAACCCGGGGTGCCAGCGCCGCAGGCGGAGGATTAGCCTAGTGAGCCGCGGTACTGGCTCATTTTTTGTACTTCTTATCACTCTCTGAAACAATATTATTTGTTTGCTCATTTATTATTTATTTATTTATTTTACTGTAACACACACTAGACCAGAAACTCCTCAAATACAGGGTCTTTAAACTATCTTACAGTTGCTGGTGAGGATGTGTAGAAAAGGGACACTTATACATTGTTGGTAGGAAATGTAAATTAGGGCAGCTACTAAAACAGTATGAAGATTTCCTAAAATACTAGAAATAGACTTGCCATATGATCCAGCAACTCCACTTTTGGTATATGCTGAAAAGGCATGAACACATTGTATCAAAGAAATATCTGCCCCACCATGTTTATAGCAGTACTGTTTATAATAGCTAAAATCCATTTGCATAAAAATGGATGCAAATGGAAGATATCATGGTGAATGAAATAAACTGGTCACAGAGAGATAAATACTACATATTCCTACTACATTTGGGAGCTAAAATTGAAAAAGAAAAAAATTTGAGCCAGCATTGTGACATATGGGTAAAGCTGCTAACTGCCATGCCAGTATCCCAAATGGGTGATGGTTTGAGCTTCAGCTGCTCCACTTCCAATCCAGCTCCCTGCTAATGTGCCTGGAAAAGCAGCAGAAGATGGCTCAAGTACTTGGGCCCCTGCCATCCATGTGGGAGACCTGGAAGAAGCTTTGGGTTCCTGGCTTCAGATTGGCCTAGCTCCAGCCGTTGTGGCCATTTGGGGAGTGAAGCAGCAGATGGAAGATACCTCTCTGTCTTTCTTTTTTCTCTCTCTGTAAACTCTACCTTTCAAGTAAATAATCTTATAAAAAAGACAAAAATTAAAACACAAAAACAAAGATAGAAATGCCTGTTTGTAATAGTATTGCCGCAAATATGTTTTTGTCAAACTCTGTTTTATGTCTTAGTCAAACCAATGGTCAAGAATATTATATTACTATAGTTTTAATGATCTGATTAGTTTAAAATTTGTTTTATATGGGTGAAATGTTTTTCTTTCCATTTGATTATTATTTATAGCCCTTGCCAATATTAGCGTTGAACTAGGGTCCTTTTACTTGTTGATCTTTTTGTTGAGTGAAGTTTTAAGCCCTTGACTGTACTATTAATAAGAAATATGTTATCTCAAAAACTAAAAAAGAAGGATGGAAGGAAGGAAAGAGAGAGGGATAGGAAGGGGAAATGTGAGAGGCAGGAAGGAAATATCATTATATCCTTAGAATTAGGGGCCAACACGGTTGTGTAGCGGATTAAGCTGTCTCTTATGATGCTATCATCCCATATGGGCACTGATTTGTATCCTGGCTACTCTGCTTTTAATCCAGCTCCCTGCCAATTCATCTTGGAAAGCAGCAAAGACAAGTGCTTGGTCCCCTGCACCCATGTGGGAAATCCAAATGAAACTCCTGGGTCCTGGCTTCAGCCTAGCCCAGCCCTGACCATTGCCACTGTTGGGGAGTGAACCAGAGGATGGAAGATCTCTCTCTCTCTGTCTCTCTCTCTGTCTGTCTCTCTCTTCTCTCTGTCTCTCTCTTTCAGTCCTCCTTCTTGCTCTGTAACTCTACCTTTCTAGTAAACAAATAAATATTTTAAAAAAAGAATTATATCATGAACTATAATGAATCTGTATTCTTTGTATTAATACTACATAAACATTAGAAAATAAAGTATCATTAATAAAAATTATCTTATTTGGATACTATATGCATAACATAGAAAATGGTGATCAGCATATAACAGATACTTGATAAATACTTGTGGGACTATTGAATTACCACCATGAAAACTAAAATCTTCTAGGTTAATAGTGACATTCACTGTAGGATTGAGGTGCCAATATCACTCAACAAGCTGAACAAAAGATAACTTAACCATTTCTGGCAAAAGACTGAAATACAATATGCTAGGAGTTATTTAGTTTAAATTTTTTGTAAAGAAGCTGTATTGAAATACACTGCATATTGGATTTTAGTGTTGGAGGTCAATGCAACCCACCAGTAGGGTTTGCAAGTCTCAGTTTTGTAAGGAATATGTTCCACTATTAAAAGATAGATATAAATAGCTTAAAAGGAAGTAACTCAGCATATTTTTCACTTGTTCTGGTCCAAGTGATTTGGCATGGTTCCTGGGCATTTGAAATTAATGACAGGGAAAAATATAAATACACAATTAACACCATAATCTTGCAAAAATACTTTGCTCTCATGCAGTGTTCCACAGTCTAACATTCTCCATGTATTTCAACAGGAAGTTTCAAAATTTTGTCATGACTTTTCTGTATTTTGGAGGAAGAAGATAGGAATTTAGTTGGTATCAGCTGATCTTGGTAAATGAGGTGTAGCCAGAAAATAAATGGGCTGAGCTAAGACACACAGCCTCAGTTTACCCACGTGTAAAATGTTCATATTTAACTAGATGACTATGGCAATGAAGGACTCTTTAAACTTTTTGTTCTTTTTTTTTTTAACTTTTATTTAATGCATATAAATTTCCAAAGTACGACTTATGGATTACAATGGCTTCCCCCCCATACCGTCCCTCCCACCCACAACCCTCCCCTTTCCCACTCCCTCTCCCCTTCCATTCACATCAAGATTCATTTTTGATTATCTTAATATACAGAAGAACAGCTTAGAATACATCAAGTATGGATTTCAACAGTTCGCTCCCACACAGAAACATAAAGTGAAAAATAATAGATGATTTTTTTTAAATGATGATGAAATCAGATCAGACCTATTGTCATGTTTAATCCCAGTGAGAGTCAAGTTGGGAATTGATAATTTCTTTTTTTTTTTTTTTTTTTTTACAGAGGATCAGTTTAGTATGCATTAAGTAAGGATTTCAACAGTTTGCACCCCCATAGAAACACAAAGTGAAATATATTGTTTGAGTACTCGTTATAGCATTAAATCTCAATGTACAGCACATTAAGGATAGAGATCCTACATGAGGAGTAAGTGCACAGTGACTCCTGTTGTTGACTTTACCAATTGACACTCCTGTCTATGGCATCAGTAATCTCCCTATGCTCCAGTCATGAGTTTCCAAGGCTATGGAAGCCCTCTGAGTTCTCCGACTCTTATCTTGTTTAGACAAGGTCATAGTCAAAGTGGAGGTTCTCTCCTCCCTTCAGAGAAAGGTACCTCCTTCTTTGATGACCTGTTCTTTCCACTGGGATCTCACTCGCAGAGATCTTTTGCCAGAGTGTCTTGGCTTTCCATGCCTGAAATACTCTCATGAGCTTTTCAGCCAGCTCCGAATGCCTTTAGGGCTGATCCAACATGGGAAGTGAGATACTCAGCAGACTCAAAGAATGGCAGATGTCCTAAATAGCACTCTGGCCTCAGAATCAGCCCTAAAGGCATTCGGAGCTGGCTAAACTTTTTGTTCTTACAAGTACATGGAAGTTTCTTGTAAGGGGTTGTATGGACTGCTTTCTCATTGACATTAGGCAGATGTTCACTAGATTGTTTCAATAAGGAACTCAAGTTGACAGTCATTAATATCATCAATAAAAAGATTATTACCATACCAGCTCAGAGAGCCACAGACAAGTTATACTTAGCCCTGAATGTAAGACAGGGATTCTTTAAGCAAAGTTCCCAGAGCAGAAGCATCTTGCAATTTGTCAGAAATGCAAATTCCTAGGTCCCACCCCAGACCAGCTGAATCAGAAACCCTGTGTGTGGAGCCAGCACTCTGTTGTAACAAGCCCTCTAGGTGATTCTGATGCACGAAGACATTTGAGAATTTGTGTAGGTAAATAACCTCAGCAGTAAGTGCTGAAATGTAGATCTTAACAGAGCACTGGAAACAAACATGGAAGGGAGGGACAGACACTTGGTGCATTGGTTAAGGTGCCGGTTTTGATGCTCATGTCCTGTACTAGAATGACTGGTGTTGAGTTCCAGCTTCCCCCTAATGCAGACTCTGGGATACAGAAAGCAACAGTTCAAGTGGTTGGATACCTGTCACTCATGTAGGGTACCCAGATTGAGTTCCTCGCTTCCATCTTCAGCTTGGCTGAACTCCAACTGTTGCAGGCCTTTGGGGGAGTGAACCAGCACATGCTCTCTCTCTCTTTCTCTCCCCTGCCCTCCTCCTCAAATAAATAAGCAAATAAACAACTAAATAAAATTACAAATATGGAGGAGAAAGGGCTAGGTATCTGGCACATTTGAACCTTGTTTCTTGAGTTTTAGTTCAGACAACGTTGGGAAGATATTCTCAGAGGAAAGAGGATGTACAAAGTAGGGGAGAGAAAACACAAGATTCATCCCAAGATTTAAATGCCCAGGGGCACTTGAGGTAGCAGGCTAAACTAATTTCCCAGCATGTTCTTCCTGCTCTCTGCTCCATGAGGCCACACACACATGACGCTGGTGATGCAGGGACTAAATGAGAGTGGGACTAGACAATGAAAGTCAGAGTCTGTAAATTGGCAGCCGATGAGTCAAACTGCACTTGCAGATGGGATTTATTTGATGGACACAGTATTAAAGATATGCTTGAGAATGAGATCCCAGTAGAAAGAACAGGGCCATCAAAGAAGGAGGTACCTTTCTCTGAAGGGAGGAGAGAACTTCCACTTTGACTATGACCCTGTCGGAATAAGATCGAAATCGGTGAACTCAAAAGGCTTCCATAGCCTTGGCAACTCATGACTAGAGCCTGGGGAGATTACTGACGCCATAAACAAGAGTATCAAATTGTTAAGTCAACAACAGGAGTCACTGTGTACTTACTTCTCATGTGGGATCTGTCCTTAATGTGTTGTCCAATGTGAAGTAATGCTATAACTAGTACTGAAACAGTATTTTACACTTTGTGTTCTGTGTGGGTGCAAACTGATGAAATCTTTACTTAATATATACTAAATCGATCTTCTGTATATAAAGATAATTGAAAATGAATCTTGATGTGAATGGAATGGGAGAGGGAGCAGGAGTTGGGAGGGGTGCTAGTGGGAGGGAAATTATGGGGGAGGGAAGCCATTGTAATCCATAAACTGTACTTTGGAAATTTATATTTACTAAATAAAAATTTAAAAAATATGCTTGAGCCAGCATGTAATGGTTAACAGCCTGGACATTTTTATAAATATTTTTAGCTTTTCACCTTCATTTTTGGCTTTCTTTTCTTGAAGAAATAGATGGTTTCATCCACATTTTTGCCTAGCAACAATTTGCCCATGTTGATAGTAGCTGTTTACTTCTGATTGGCTCACATCCTCTCCATGTCTGCATGGTCCTCACCATTCCCTTCTATATTCCTGGTAGTCATTGCACTTTGACAGTACTCTATATTTTAAAGATAAGGTTCTTTATTTCCGTGTTGAAATCAAAGGTGAGAAAATGTAAGAAGGACCATGAGTATTGCCTCTTTCAAATCAAGAGAGAAAGAGCATATAGAGTTAGGAGAAAAAAAAGAATATTTCTACATGTTTGGTAGCAATTTCAAAGAAACTCATCAGGCTAGTGTTGTGGTGGAAGGGTAAAGCTGCCACCTGCAATATTGGCATCACATATGAGTACCAGTTCGTGTCCCAGCAGCTCCACTTTTGATACAGCTCCTTGCTAATTGTCTGGGAAAAGCAGTGGGTGATGGATCAAGTATATGGGCTCCTGCCACCCACATGGAAGACCTGGATGAAGCTCCTGGCTCAGGGTTTCAGCCTTGCCTAGCCCTGGCTGTTACAGTCATTTGGAGTGTGAACCAGCAGATATAATATCTGTCTCTTCCTCTCTCTCTCTAACTCTTTCAAATAAATAAATAAATAAATAAATCACACTTCAAAAACTTATAAGCAGAACTTAGCAGGAGTAAAATTGAAAATGTTAAATTCTGACATGGAAATACTTAAAAATTAGTTAATAACAGAAAAGGGCATTGAAGAATGAATAGGAGTTTTTCCAGATGTAAACTAACTCCTTGGACAGTCATCTACTCACTAAAACATAGAGTCAGAGACAATTTATCATTTTGCAAGTGTGTGTCTTTTTTCCATAATTAAAATAAATTGATAATCTCTCATCATGCGGCCACACATCATATGGCCATGTTGTTCAAGGCTACATTTTAATTACCCCAGCCTGAGGCCCTCTTCAAGCCCAGAGGTACCTGGAATTTCTTCTTAATAAGGAGTAAATGCTCAAGGCTCACCACACAGCTATCACACACTCATTTGAAAATGAAGAGTGGAGATACATTCCATAAATCAAAAGCCTGAGGAGAAATAGTTAACCCAACATGTTCTGAGCTTTTGCATGCTTCCTTGAGGGGGTTCATTACGAATGAATCCTTCACTGGGTCACTGAAATATTTAAAGGAGAGAAGAAAAAGCATCAGAGTCAACCTTGTGTGTGTGTGCATGTATCTATGTGTTTTTCATATCAGTGCATTGCTTGAAAAGGTTAAGGTGGGGTAGCCTTCCTTACGAATCTTGGTTGGCCACTGAAACAGAATCTTTGGTGCCAGATATAATGCTCTTGACATTAGCTAATTGAGAGACCTCTCCAGTGACTCGTGGTTTGTGGGTGAAGTGGAGGCTGCAGTTCAGCTTCCTATGGAGATAAAGTCCTTGCAGGGCAGCCTGTTATGAGTCCCAACGGTCTGCACCTAGTGTGGCATAGGCGAGTTAGTGCACACCTGCTGGAGAGGTCCTGTGCCAGAGATGTGTTCACAGTACTCACAGCTCAGCCTGGTCTGTTGATGCATTTGTTGTCGAGTGCTTTGTGACTAGGCAGGGAGAATGTAACAGCATTCTCTCATAGCTGGAGGCCTGCAAAGAGGATGTAAGGATGATTACTGCTGACAGCTAATGGAGCTTCACCTGTAGAGCTGGTGGCGGAGATGCTGCTTTTGGATCCCAGGTACTCTGGTTCCCATCCCAGAAAATTTCTCACAGGGAACTGATTGATCTTTCAAACAAAATTACTATGTTGGCTAAGTCGTTTCCACTTCTTTCATCTCAGTTCCTTTTCTCTGAAACAAAAAGGCAGATGGCAATTGAGAGAGAAAATATTTGCTATGTATGCAAAGGATGAGAGTGAATGACCAAAGGTCTTTGCCATCACCTTCTCTTCTGCAGAGGTTATAGCAATGAGCTGGCAGAGGAAAGGTAAAAAGAAAGGCTGTCTCATGTGATTTGCATGCTTCCAAATACATATTGGTGCTTGAGGTTTACCTTACTTCACTCAAAGTGGTTCATGGGATATACCCATTAATATACAGTGATGCATCTGCACTTCCTAATGTCAATAGACACCATTAGAAATAGAGATGAGAATAATATATGAGTGCTACAAAAATTTCATGGAAATTCATATTATAAAAAAACTATGCATGGTTTTCAAATTTATTTGTGCACAAGAAATGAACTTATAGTTTCATTACATTTTCCATGAACTTTCGAAGGACTTCAAATAAGAATAAAATTAAAACTTAAATTATAAAACGATGTAGCTGACAAGGCTGAAACCCCTACCTTCTATAGAGTGCTTTCTCTCCTGAGCCATCTTGGCTCATGCATCCCCTCTTCCTCATTTGTTCCTGAATTCCTTACTTTGCTGCAAATTTAAGGTCTATTTAGCCATTTAGTTCAAGTCTCAGTTTAAGAAACCTTTCTCTGAGAATCTTCAATTTATTGCAATTGTTGTAATTATTTATGTAAGCAATTGCCCAGTGACGGGCTTCCTCCCCGTTTCCCATAAAACCAACTCATTTTCATTGAGCAGCTTGGCCAGGCTCTAGTCTAAGTACCAGGAATGCAGAGGGAAAGGGAGGAAATAGTAAACAAACAAATGAAGGAACAAATCATTTCAAATAGCCAGGGTTGTCATATAAAGGAGAAGCTGAGGTTGTAGAGCATCAAAGGGAACCAAGGCATACAGCCCATTAGGAAAAAGCATTCTAGAAGGGTGGGTATTTGGTACAGTGATTAGGAGTTAACATGCTGCTTGGGATGCCTGCACCCAATTTCAGAATACTTGTGTTTAAGTCCCAGCTCCACTACTGATTCCACCTTCCTGCCAATATACAACCTGAGAGAGAGCAGGTGATAGTTCAAGACATCAGACAGGACCCAGCCCTAGCTGTTGCAGTGAGTTGGAGAATGGATAATGGATAAGCATGTGTTCTTTGCTTCCCTTCCACTCTTTCTTTCTCTCTCTCTCTCTCTTCCCTGCCTCCCCACCGCCACCCCTCCAGCCTACTTTTGAGATAATATTAAAGCATTGTAGAAAATAAAGTGCTTCAAGATGAAAGGACTACTCAGTTTCATCATATGCATCCTCCTTGTAGATAGAGGAAGGGAGGAATAATCAGGGGCTTTAACAAGAATATTTCAGTGGAATGATGGGAACAAAGGCTGTTCTGGAGGGAGAATACAGAAAAATTTTACAAGATAGGCATTCTGTGTCATGCATCTCTATACCATTTTTGTAGCTACAATGTCCAACACAGTAAGCATTTAACAAATGTTGAGCATCTTACAAGTTTCATTTACCCCAGTCCATGTAGATTTGAATTTCAATTTTTGATCTCATTATATACTATGTAAGCATCTTTCATAGCAGTGTTAATGTATTTACATAAGTGTCTCTCCCCACTGGACCATACTTTCCCTGCAGATAAGAGGATTTTCATATTCATTTTTTTTTCTCCTGAAAAGCCAACACTGTTTTTGAGTATAGTAGTAATTCAGTTAATTAGCACTGGATGAGTATTTATTAGATAACAATATGGCTAGGTTTTTTTTTTTCCTAACATTAACTAAAACTTTTAGGCCAAACTGAAGAATAGTGTAAGCACAGGGAATATAGTGAATAAATTTTAAAAGAGCAAGGCCTTGGGGAATACAAATAAATACAAAAATAAGAAAAAAAAGCAAAGTTTAGACTTCTTATCTTTGAAAATTGAGTTCACAGACTGACATTTATCATTGTTAAGACTAGTAGCTAATCTTTATTAACTGCACCTAGCATATTCAAAGGTGCTTCAGAACGTCTGTGGAAAATGAAATTAAAAGGTACGTTTATTTTGGTACAAAAGTTTTAAAATCCATCCATAGTGCTTTATAGTATGCATTTTCCATAAACTTTAGGAAGTCACCTCATACTACATGAGCTTGTTTAACAACCTTGTTAGGTAAGTTACATTATTTTCCCATTATACAGATGAGAAAACTAAGGCTTGGAGAAAATGTCAACTTTCTAGAGGTCACACAGATTGAAATCCACGTGTGACTTAAGGACCTTTTGCCTATGTGCTCTTCTATGGTTGGTGAACATTTTACTGGTGATTACCAGTGATGAGGGTGGGAGCTAATGCTCCACTCAAGTTCTCACTCATGGTGTTATGAACTTCGGTTTTATGATTTAAAACTTACAGTTCCAACAATACAAGAGCTATCAGGTACTGTGCAACTATTGAGTCCTGTACCTTTACAGCTACTATCTCTAATACTTGTAGAAAATCCTCATTTACAGATTAAAAAAAATGAGGTTCAAAGAAGTTGCACATGGCACCCAGTATCACAGAGATGATTTGCACTTAGAACAGGATTTTCAAATGAAAAGTTTTAGAAAGGAACAAGATTTTTATCTGGGTTTTATTTCATATCCCAAAGTCTAAGGTGTTACCTCATTGACACGGTATCTCCCTTACACTGAAAGCAAAACAAAACACAACAGCCCCTTCTTCACCTGGATTAAAAAAAAATTGCTTCAAACAGAGCCAAGGGTCTGCTAAGTAATGAAATCTACAGGCTGTTTTTAAACAATCAATTCTACTAAAGTACTTAGCCGTAATGTAATCCAGAAAAGTAGTTCTGTCTCTATAAGGCAACTGCATCCCTCTCTCTCTCTCCTCTCTCCTCTCTCCTCTCTCCTCTCTCCTCTCTCCTCTCCCCTCTCTCCCCTCTCCCCCCTCCCCTCTTCCCTCTCCCCTCTCTCCCCTCTCCCCCCTCCCCTCTTCCCTCTCCCCTCTATGTTCAAGGTCCCTGTCACCTTCCCTCCCTCTCGGATAGTACAGCCAGCCTGGTTCATTTATTTATTTCCCAGGTCCAGGTCCCTTGGATGAGCAGCCCGACCCTGACTCAGCGGAGCTGGACCTCCACCGGAGGCCCTGTTCCCGGCAGCTGCTGCTGCTCTCCGTTGGCCAGCAGCGATGTGCCAGCTGTCTCTGACTGCATTACACCACAGTAATGTGAACAACTGGAAGCAATAATGTGTCTCCCCATTTGCCTAACAATACCAACATGGACAATAACTCAGAAGACTGAAGATTTGTGCTGTAATTTAATAAACCCCATGCACATTTCTACAATTGAGTATCACATCTGTGCAATGGATCCTAAAAGTGTAATATTCTTTTATAAGGGACCATTAACCAATCTTAAGTTTATAGGTTTCCTTAAATCTTTTTCATCAGCTGTTAAACTACAGTAAAGAGAAAATTGCCTCTTATGAGACAAGGAATAGTAAAATACAAAGACTGTGATTAAACGTCAATCAATTAAGGATTATAATATAATAAAATGCTGACTAATGACTAAAATGAGCACTTTCTAGGAAGGTTGGATAAGCAACATTATGAATTATTTTTAAAAGTCAGTAGAATAAACTTCAATTAGAACATGCTATTTATGAGTCTTTGCACTCTGGAAACAAAAGATTCACAAGAATTATTCCTCAGGTACAAAGATTCCAAAATTGGCATTGAACTTCTGTACTAAAAAGTATTTTTCTAGCTTCTCATTTTATTATTCCCCAGTCTGGAGAATTTTAAATTTGTTTCTGAACAGAATAAATAACAGAATTTTTGTTTCAGCTAGTTTTCCAACAGTGAGTGCAGCTGGGCAACAGTTTATGAAAATGGGTTGTGTAGTAAAACCACCAAACAAACAAACAAACAACACTGCAATTGAGGTAACAAAACACTGAGTAGAACGTAAGGCTCTTGAAAGGAGCTTGGGGACTGTTTATAAAACTTAGCAATCCTTGCCTTTCTGAAATGGTCCCTTGCAGAATGTTTTCTTTCAAAGGTCAGAACATAAACCTCTCTCTAGGAAGAGTTGCAAATAATCCAACACAACCACTTTCTTCATTTCTGCCTTCCATCAGTCGCATATTTTTGGCCATCAGCTTCTTTACTTTGGGCTTGAGTTTTGTTAGAAGACCTGCATTAATTGTGATAGGTTTGGCAGCATCAAGCAACGTTGAGAGGCTTTTTCCGCTCCTCTTGCTGCTGTATTTTCTCCTACAAATTCTCCAACTTTTTGCTCTCACCAATATTATTGGCCAGAGAACCCATTTTTGTTCTGTACTGAGCTGCTCCTTGCTTATACCTTCTTTCCATTGCCTTCCCAAAGCAATTTGCCAGCTACATGGCTTGTACCTGGTCCCTTTGGAGCTCTGAAGGCATTCAGACTCCTGCCAGTTTGCAGGGAGCATTTTGAAGCTTGTTGCAACAGCTGGCTTATATGAGTCTTGAAGGAAAACCCCGCATGCCCGTAGTAGCACATTTGAAACTGTAAAGCATCTGGCAAGGTAAGCAGAGACCAAAAGGTGCAGGTAACTCTCGGCTTTGCTAGAAGCTGTGCTGGAGGAGCCTTGCACAGAAGACAGCAACAGTAGCATAATTAATGAATAAATCCCCATGCATCCTGGCTTCTGTCCTTTTCTACAGAAATTACTCTGGCGGAAGTCACCAATGACCATCTAATTATCCAAGTCAATGGATACTCCTCAGACTATGTTTTACTGGGCAGCTCTGTCCGACTTGGCAGGACAGTTAAGTGCCATGCAGAAGATCACACATTCACTAAGTCACATGGCTGCCATTTAAAACAGGTGCATTGAACCCCAAACTCAGGATCTTCCCAGTGAACTAAGTTGCCTCACAGATATATGAGTACAGAAATGATGAATGGAGGAAAATTCTGTGACTTGGCTAAATACTGATGGTTTCCCCTGTGTAGAAGGGATCTTATGTGGCATTGGTGGTATTTTAAGAAGTTCTAGGGGCTGGCACTGTGGTGCAGCGGGTTAAAGCCCTGGCCCGATGGGCACCGGTTCTAATCCTGGCTGCTCCTCTTCTGATCCAGCTCTCTGTTATTGCCTGGGATAGCAGTAGAAGACGGCCCAAGGACTTGGGTCAGGGCCCCTGCACCCGCATGGGAGACCCGGAAGAAGCTCCTGGCTCCTGGCTTCGGATCAGCACAGCTCCGGCCGTTGCAGCCAACTGGGGAGTGAATCAGCAGATGGAAGACCTCTCTCTCTGTATCTACCTCTCTCTTTAACTCTGTCTTTCAAATAAATAAAATAAATCTTAAAAAAAAAGTTCTATAGCCACAGAGAATGAGAATGGGAGAACAGGCCGTGGAGAAGAAGAGATTTTTTGAAAGAGAGAAAAAGGCACAATCCCACCAAGGACATGCAGGGAGCAGATGACAATCTTTTAAAAACCATGATTAATATAAGAGATATAATAAATATATGTAATAAAACAAAATGTTATATACAATAAAATATAAGCTAAAAAAGCAACTCACCCATCAAATAGGGAACAAAATGTCTTATGAGAAATGGAGATGAGATGGGTATAATAAAATCAACATTGGGGCCTGGCATGTGGTGCAGTGGGTTAAGTCACTGCCTGTGACACCAGCATCCCATATGGGTGCTGGTTTGTATCATGGTCACTCCACTTTCAATCCAGCTCCCTGCTAACATGCATGGAAAAGCATCAGAAGATGGTCCAGGGTCTTGGTGGATGGAAGATTCTCTCTCTCTGTCTTTCTTTCTTTCTTTCTCTCTCTCTCCCTCTCATCCTTTTTCCCCCTTTCTTTCTATAACTCTTTTAAATAAATCATTTTTTTTAAAAAATTAAGATTGTTTGAAAACCTATAGACAGGAGTTATTGTCCAAATTCTCCATTTCTTCCCTACAATATGAATTCACTAATTCCCTTTATTATCCCAGGAAAAATATCAGAAATTTAGACACTGAGAAAAGCCGGTCAGAAAAATCTGAGACTTGGGACACAACAACGAGTAAAGCTTGGAGCAGCAATGGTGAGATGTGTAGACTCCCACAGGATCAGTGATTCCCAGGGTTGTTTTAAGGAGGCCCGTAGTCAGGTGAGCACTGCTTTCTCTCCTCTTCTTTCCCACCACCCTCATCCCTGAACTCCTTGACCCTTTTTCTGGAAAGTGAAAGAGCTCATGAAGACCAAACTTCCTGATACCATCATGAGAAAGCCAATAGGTGGCTTGGTCACCATATAGTTATGTGAACAAAACTCCTTCCTGCAGCTTCCAATCAGCTTTGTAGTTTGCAGAAAAGTCATGATCAATTGGCTACTGAATAACTCCTCTAAAATAAAAAGACAAAAAGCAAGAAAACACAAAACAAACAGAACAGGGAAGTCTAGATAATGCTATGAAAGTAATAAGAAGCGATTAATATTCTCAGACAGATAAGAATACATTACAAACATAAAATAAAAATCCTAGAACAAGAAACAATTCTTGGAAATCTAAAATCAAATAGCCAAAATGAGAAATGCACTCAGAAAAATTATAGGATAGGAAAATGTGTGGAGAACATGAGAGAATAATTATGACAATTAGTAATATGAAACACAGTAGAAGTCCAAAATAGAGAAAACCAAAAAAGAGGAAGGGGAATTGTAATGTTAATAATAAAGGAAAATTTGTCTCAGAATTATTCAACATGAATTTCTAAATTAAAGAAGTCCACCACCAGTTCTCTAGCACAAAAAAAAATGAAATTAAAAAATCCTAACCTAGACCCATAGAATCCCAGAGGTAAAGAAGTAATATTAAAAGTATGTGTGTGTGTGTGTGTGTATGGAGAGAGAAAGAGTGAGAGAGAGAGAGGATTAAAAAAAATCATTGCTGCATCAGACTACTCAATGGCAAACTACTCACAAGAAACTTTTAGACAGAGCAATGCTTTCAAAATTCTGATGAAAAGTAATTTCCAAATCAGATATTTCTAACTAGTCACATCTGAAAGTAAGCTTAAGACATCTTTTCTCTTTACAGGGTTTTCTTAGTGAGATACCGAAACAGTTCTCCAGCAAAGTGAGGAAGCAAATCAAGATGGAACACACAAGAAGGGTGTCAGAACAGTTCCATAACTATTGGAAAGGGAAGTTCTAAGCAACAGCTTTTGCAGCAAGACCAGAAAGCAAATGGGAGGAGAGCAAAGGGCTACTGGAATGAGGTTTTCAAGCAAAGACAATGGAAACACTAAGTGGTGTATTTGACTGTACAATATAAGAGTGGGAATAAGAGAGGGAGGAGATGTACAATTTGGGACACGCTCAATCGGACTTGCCCCAAATGGTAGAGTTAGAAATGTGCCAAGGGATTCCAATTAAATCCCATCCAGGTGGCATGTACCAATGCCATCTCACTAGTCAAAGTGATCAGTTTCAGTTCACAATTGATTATAATGATAGGATTGAGAGTCAAAGGGATCACAAAAATAAGACTAGTGTCTGCTAATAATAACTGAGAGAATTAAAAGGGAGAGAACGATCCAACATGGGAAGTGGGATACACAGCAGACTCATAGAATGGCAGATGTCCTAAACAGCACTCAGGCCTCAGAATCAGCCCTTTAGGCATTTGGATATGGCTGAAAAGCCCATGAGAGTATTTTAAGCATGGAAAGCCAAGACACTCTGGCAAAAACAAAAACAAAAACAAAAACAAAAACAAACAAACAAACAAACAAAAAACCAAAAGCCTAACTGAAAGATCTCTGCGAGTGAGATCCCAATGGAAAGAATGCTCATCAAAGAAGGAGGTATGTTTCTCTGAAGGGAGGAGAGAACTTCCACTTTGACCTTGGCCTTGTCTAAATAAGATCGAAGTTGGCCAACTCAAAAGGTCTCCATAGCCTTGGTAACCCATGACAAGAGCCTTGTGTGATTACTGATACCATAAACAAGAGTGTCAATTGTTAAGTCAACAACAGGAGTCACTTTGCACTTACTCCTCATGTAGGGTCTCTGTCCCTAATGCGTTGTTCAATGTGAATTAGTGTTATAACTAGTACTCAAACAGTACTTTACACTTCATGTTTGTGTGGGTGCAAATTGTTGAAATCTTTACTTAATATATAGCAAACTGATCTTCTGTATATAAAGATAATTGAAAATAAATCTTGATGTGAATGGAATGGGAGAGGGAGTGGGAGATGGGAGGGCTGTGGGAGATGGGAAGTTATATGGGGGGAAAGCCACTGTAATCCAAAAGCTGTACTTTCGAAATTTATATTTATTAAATAAAAGTTTAAAAAATAAAATAAATAAAAGTGTAAACAGCAAAGAAAAATTGGGAATAGTCTAATATCAACTATAATGTAAACAAGCATTGTATGAACCACTTTAATTTATATTCTCACCCAAGAGATTATGTTTGCATTGATATCTGTTTTTGTGACCTTCTTACGCATTAAAAGGTATTTACTATTGTATGACCAAGCTTCCAACAAACATTTTGTTTATTTAGCTATAAAAATTAACTTAAAAAATAAAAATAAAATAAATCTATTGATCCAGGATTCCTACTACTGGATATATGTTCAAAGGCAATGAAATCACTGTGTTAAAGACATATCTGCACCCCTATAGTTACTGCAGCACTACTCACAATAGGCAACATAAATTTTAAAAAATGGAAACAAACCTAAGGTTTCACCCACTGATGAGTGGATTAAGAAAATTTAGTACTTATGCACTTTAGTGTTTCTCAACTTCAGTACTTCTTTCTTTTCTTTTCTTTCTTTCTTTTTTTTTTATTTAACAGGTAGATTTATAGACAGTGAGAGAGAGAGAGACAGAGAGAAAGGTCTTCCTTCATTGGTTCACTCCCCAGATGGCTGCCACAGCCAGCACTGCCCTGATCCAAAGCCAGGTACCAGGTGCTTCTTCAGGGTCTCCCATGCGGGTGCAGGGGCCCAAGCACTTGGGCCATCCTCCAGTGCCCTCCTGAGCCACAGCAGAGAGCTGGACTGGAAGAAGAGCAACTGGGACTGGAACCCGGTGGCCATATGGGATGCCAGCACTGTAGGCAGAGGATTAACCAAGTGAGCCATGGCACCGGCCCTCAACTTCAGTACTTCTGGCATTTGGGATTGGATAATTCGTTCTTGTGGGCTGTTGTCTTGTATGTTGTAGGATGCTTAAAATTATTATTGCCCTTGTTCTATTAGCTTCTAGTTGCATCCCTCTTCCAGTGTAATGATTGAAAGTGTCTGTAGATATTGCCAAACAGCCCCTGGGGAGAGAGAAAATCATCCCCAGTGGAAAACCACTGCCTTAGATAGTTTAAAGATGACCTCTGTCCAAAATGGAACCTGAAGTAAAACATCAACCTTTGGTTATTTGGGACATCATAGTACTCAAATTTAGTCAAAAAGTGAAGAATCAACCAAAGAATTCTAAACTATTTTGCAACTCAGAATAGGGGTTGCAAACTTTGCCAAGATTTAGACAGGTTTGTTGGCTGGAGCACAACTCCCAGTGTCCAGGGTGGCAAACATCCAGAATTGAGTGCTCTTTGACCCTAGTGTGACAGAATTTCCAGTAACTTCCCCAAGGAATAGCAAGTGAGAAACTGTCAAGGTAATTTCTTTCCCCAATACCCTCTTTTCATATTTTGAAATTTTAAAACGGACTGTGGACTTGCCATTGGCACAATGTTTAAGATGTCACTTGGGTTGCCTACAGCCCATATCTAAGCACCTGTGTTGGAGTCCCAGTTGCACTTCCAATCTAACTTCCTGCTAACTTCCACAAGAGATTGCCAGTGATGGTTCAAGTACTTAGGTCTCTGCTACTCACACGGGAGACTAAGGTTGGATTTTAGGCTCTTGGTTTCAGCATGGCTTATCCCTCTCTTTCCCTCTTTCAAATAATTAAATAAATCAATAAAATTTTTAAAACTTGACATCTTAATCAGGCAGCTTACTTACCACTATATGGCAATGAAGTGGTAAATCAACTGTAATATACATTTATATATTTATAAACACGTATTATATAAACTGTAAGTAATATGTAACTGTTAGAGATAATTATGTAAAGGAGTCCTGATTCTGACATTTACCTGCTGTTCAAACTTGAGCAAATTCCTTAACCTGTCTGACTCTCACTTTACTCATTCATACTGCAAAAGTCATCAAATATACCTCTCAGGGTGGTTTTCAGATCCAATGAGGTGAGAAAATGTGAAAATATTTTATAAATAGTAAAGTGCAATACTAATATATTGCAATATTATTTTCTAAAGCCTCAAGGAGGAAAAGAGCCTTGAGGTTTCCAGAAAATTAATAATAATAACAACAGTGTAGAGTCTCTCACACTAATGTGTTTTGCTGGGCTTTTGGGCCAATAGCAGAATAAGAATTGACTCCCATATTTTAGGGCTCCTGCACTTTAAATCTGAGGTCAAATGAAAATTCAACGCAGGATGAGAAGTTTCATATTCTGATCCTTTTTTGTGCTATGAACTCTGGCTTTGTGTTATGCAGGTCTTCTTGAGTTTGGGAATCTTGTTACTCCCAATAATTTTAATTTTTGCTTAAAAATGATGTATTTAACTTACATATGTATTGCATATACTGAGTTAGTCTTGATGAGACACCTTTGTTCATTCCATGTTTTAAACTCCTGTGATCAGCTTGTGCTGGTTGCTAAATGCAGTGCCTAATACAGTGCCACATGCATAGAGTTACCTGGTGAGGTTATGGGATTAGAGAAAGATGTTCTTCAGGAATGTGAGGGTTCTTGGTGTAGAGGAGGGAACCAGCGATTCTGTTGGCATAGATTGTAGAGCAAGAGGGGAGAGTATTTTAGACAGAGAAGCCAGAGAAAATCTCTGAGTAGGTGATATCTGAGGAGAACCAAATGAAGACAAAGAAACCAGCAGTATATATTTTCAATCTATGTTATTAGGAGCATACATCATTTATTTAAAATTCTGCATGATGCTATTAATTTTGGATTATGTGATCATATTAATTCAAAAATATTCGACTATTTTTACCTTTCCCATACTCTTCATTTCTTCTTGTGTTTTACATTGCCTTTTGGAGTTCTTTGTCCTCTGAAGAATCATTTTCAGTTTCTCTTTAGTTTGGGCCTGCTGGTAACAGTTGCTCTGTCTCTGTCTGAACACATCTTTCACATTCATTTATTCTGCATGTAGACTTTTGGCTTGGTGTGTTATTTCTTTAAGAATTCCAAATTTGATCTGAGCTTTGTGGTGATTACTACCGTCTGGGAAGAGTAAGGGAGGGAGGCACAGGGAAGCTGGATAATGCACGCCAAGACACAGTCAGGTAGAAATAACAACGTTTTGTGCTGCACTGCACAGTGGGGTGACTATAGTTCCTGATAATGTATTATATCTCTTATAAAGAACTAGAAGAAAGGAGCTCATAGGCTCCAAATATAAAGAAAAGATAAGGAAATAGATATGCTAATTATTTGATCAGTTTATGCAGTCTACATGTATTGTACTATTGTACCTTATCCCAATAAAATCTACAAATGTTCCATAATAATTTTAAATAAGGCACACATTCACACATGAAAAAACAAAGAAAAAGATGCTATTGCATTGTCTCATGTCTCTTCTATTGAAAAATGCTCATTGTTAGTATTAGATAAATTAAGATTTTTCTCTTTATCTTTAATTTTTAGCAGTTTTTACTATGGTATGGTTAGTTATAGGTATCTTTACATATTTATCCTAGTTGGAGTTTGTGGAGATTCTTGAATCTGATCATCAGTAACTTTTCACTGGAAAACTCTTGATCAGCATCTCTTTTAAAAATAATTATTTATTTATTTGAAAGTCAGAATTACACAGAGAGAGGAGAGGCAGAGAGAGATAGAGAGGTCTTCCATCCGATGGTTCACTCCCCAACTGGCTGTAAATGCAGGAGCTGTGCTGATCCAAAACCAGGAGCCAGGAGCTTCTTCCGGGTTTCCTATGCAGGTTCAGGGTCCCAAGGACTTGGACCATCTTCTCTTGCTTTCCCAGGCCATAGTGGAGAGCTGGATCGGAAGTGGAGTAGCCTGGTCTCGAACCAGCACCCATGTGGGATTCTGGCACTTCAGGCCAGGGCGTTAACCCGCTGAGCCACAGCACAAGGCCCCCAGCATCTTTTCAAATATTGGTTGTGTTGCATTCTCCTTCTCTCTTCTGTTATGCTAATATGTTATACTTTCTCACAGCATCCAGTACGCTTTTATATGCTCTTTTATGAGTCTTCCTACCATTTTATTCTCTGTGACTTAGTCTAGAGGTTTTGGGCCACCCTACTTTCTAGTTCACAAATTCCTTCTATTGTGTTGGATCTCTGTATTATTTTCAGTTATTAGATTTTTCATTCCTGACTACCATATGAATATTTTTTCTAATTTCAGCTCTTTGATGAAATTATTTTTGTCACCGTCTATTTTAATATACTGATTAATTATTTTAAAAATATACCTTGCCCTACTTTTTGCCATGCCCAGGACATAGTTCTAGAGGTCACTACTGAACTCAAGTGCTTAATATTTACTGCAATAGATAATTCCAGTATGTGCATTTCCTGTGGTATGTTACTATCTGCTTATCTCTCTCTCTGTCTTTTCAGCATTCAGCTTTCTATTGACCAGTTGCAAACTTGTACTTTTTTGCTAGAATGCAAGAAATTATGCA